GCAAGTCGAGTAAGAGATAGGTTGATAACGACAGTTGTAACTATTTTCTACCGATGTATATAACAATAGGGGCAAAGGTCGCTTTTTATTGCGCGAGACAAACGAAGGGCAAAAGAAGAGCACAAAGTACTCGGAAAACTGAAATCCAACCCCTGTCTTTCCCACATCAAGTCCATCTCATCCACGCACTTCTCCTTGATCGTCCACTCATCACATCGTTTCTCAATCTCGTGCTAGATAGCTCCGCAGCCCCTTCACTGGCACTGAGAGTAGAAGTCGTTGAGCTTCTTGCAGGTGAAGGGAGACTTGCAGGTCGTGGGGCCGCTGTAGTTCTGGCCACCGCACTGTCCCCATTGGTCGACGCTGCCGGCAGGGGGGTTGGTGGGAGTGGAAGAACCAGTGGTGCTGCTGCTGGCAGGGGGGTTGGGGGTGGTGCCGTCGCTCTTGTAGGTGCTTCCGATGGGACCGAACTTGATGTTGGAGAAGGAAACCTTGGAGTTGGGAACATCTCGCTCAAGGTCGGAGGGGTTGCCAGAGGTGATAGCACAAGAACCTCGCTGGGATCCAACCTTGGTAGAGTCGGTTGGGTAGGTAGAGTCGAGCCAGAGCATGTTGGAGTGGTGCTGTAGACAAAAGTCAGTATGCGATGTTCCTATTCCAATTATGAATGGTTGGGGGTCTGCGTTAGACTTACGTCGTGCCAGAGAGACATAACAAGGACCATGGGGGCAGAGAGAGCATCGCTCATGCCGTTCCAGCCACCCTTCTTAGAGAAGTCATCGATATCTCCAAAGACGCTCTTCTGCTTGGAGCAGAAGTCAGAGGTGAGAGAGCTACCGGAGTTGCCTGCAATCTTGGACTCGGAGTTGGCAATGACCTTGCCGTTCTGGACGTACAGACGGGTAATCTCAGAAAGACGTCCGTTGCTGCCCGTGTGGAACTGAGTGACAACAGTCATCTTCTTGGTGGTATCGACGTTGAAGTTGGATCCAGGACCGTAGAAGGTCTTGTTGCCCTGGCGATAGGCGTTGAAATCACAACCGTCGGCATCGCAAGTTCCACCATATCGGTCATTAGAGTAGGTTCCACCACAAGAGTCACCAGTGCAAGAGTGCTGAGTGAGCTTGGTGCAAGGATGAGGAGTGAAGGCTGTGGAGATGGAGTTGGCCTCCCAGATATCCATCTCGGGGCAGCAGGTACCCAGGTTACCAACACCGGCGTTGGCATCACTGTCAGAGGGCTCCCAGCCGTCAGAGTTGGCCTTGAGTACTGGTTAGCTTCTATCCCAAACCCGCAATCGTGATCTAGGTTAATACTTACAACTCCGTTGATGAACTTGACGTCACGAGGGCACTGAGCATCACAGTAACCAGTTCCGTACTTGGCTCCGGCCTTGTTTCCGGAGTACCTGGCCTTGCCACCATCCTCGTCCATGCTGACGAAGTAGAGGGCGCCGTTCAGACCGCAGCCGATACCAGAGACATCGACGTCAAAGGTGAACTCGTTTCCCAGAAGCTGGAACATCTGGTAGGTGTTCTCGTTCTCCATGAGATAGGTTCGGCTGCCGATGTTCTTGCTGTAGGGACCCTGGGTGACGAATCCAAGACTGAGCTGGTTGCCGCTGGAAGTGATTCCGTAGGTGCCAGCATAGTCGGCGCCATCAAGACAGCACTTTTCGGCGCAGGTCTTGCCATCAGTGCAGATGGAAGTGTCCCACTTGTTTCCGGTGTAGCAGTTGGTAGACCCAGAAGTCTGGTGAGTCCATCGCCAGTTGGCATCAATACCGACGGAGCCCTTGACATCGCTGCAGCCACTGGATGTGCACTTGGACCAGGTCAAGGCAGGCTTGGTCTCGGTGGTCAAAGAGCAGACCTGTTGAGCCCGAGCAGTGGCAATAAGAGCCGAGGCGGTTGCGACGATGCGATACATTGTAAGTGAAGCTAGACCGTTGGATAGATGAGACTGGGTTGACTGAAGAAGTTGTGATGAGTGAGGAGTGGTGAGTTTGATTAGAATTGGGAATCCGAGCTTGTTATATACTCGTCAACAAGAAGGTCTGGAACTTAGAAGATGGTCCCCTTCACCCATGCCCAGATTTGAAAGAAAGGAGTGATCAACATCAGGAGAAGCCGCCATACCGATGAGGCTCCATCTTCGTGGCTTCAGGAGATAATCGGGTCGCGGGCCGCATGCCCTTGGACAATATGAAGGTAAGGAGAACCTTGCTAAGCCAGTGATGTCTCACTTGGGGATAACAGGCAAAGCATAGTATGCTTCCAGAGCGGAGACTTGTCGAGTAGAGCCACAACGAGGGACGGTGACTGCAGGGGGCAGTTCCTGAGCCGATCTCCGTGATAGCCTCCGGTGGCGTACGGTAAGTGTCCGATGAATACCTACAGCAGCAAAGAGAACGAGTAGGCCGGTCCGCAGTTCCCGAAGGAGAGCAATATTTGGCCTCCGAAGAGGCTGCACTCACGATCTTCGCTCATTGGAGGGACCCTGTAACTTGGGCTAACGAGGCCGTGTAAGAATAAGAGCAAGTTTTCGAATTACTGTTCTCACGGGCATCTAAAGGATAGGAACATCGTTCGTTTTTCGGGCCGTCGCTTCCACCATCATTTTGCCGTGGACTAATGAGACCCGTGATATAATCCATAGAATGATCGTGAGGTAGTCTAGTTACCAGTCCCGGAAAGGCAACTAGGAGGGAACGGTCACCTTTCAGTCACCCTGCCATCTTAACCAGATGGATCTCCGCCCAGGGTTGATTGTACTTAGCCGTACTTCTAGTGAGGAGGCTGACCCCACAAACTGTTGGTTCTCTCAAGGACCCAAAGCTTTGGCCCATTTGCCACTATTCGAGCATGGTATTTACCAATTATGCGTTGCTGTCACAACTTCGTCTGGTATCAATATGGAGAAGCCTGTATTTGAGATCCACGGGTGCCTTACACCGCGGGTACAATGCTCCTCAGTAGACATCGCTTCCATGGGCCGTAGCTCCGGTAAAGATTATATATCCTTTTGGAGACAATTTATGCATATTGATCTGTTAATGGGGGTGAAGAGCACCTGTACATCACACTGTCTGTTGATCCGTCTTTGGTAGCGCTGATGTCACTTTTCCCATCTGTAAACCGGAACTCGTAAACATTGGCGATGTATATTATTCGAGTCCAAGTTTCATAGCTCATATGCTCTTGATGGTGGAACAATTACAGCCGTGTAACCTAAATGAGCTGTCCTGGTAAAGGGGATCTCGCGGTACTTCGGGATTCAGTCCGTCCGCTTAAAAGAAGTTTCAAGGCGGCAACTGCAGGTATCGTGGAAGAGAATTTCCGTCAAATTTAGTTTGTTCATGTGTTCGTTGTGCGCCCATGCCCATCTCGAAAAACAGCTGTTGTTGGTCAGCTGCCGGGCAATGCGGAGGTGGTAGAAGTTAAACCCCTGACATAGCGCATGGAGGTGAGGGTTTGGAGAGCTTTCTCGTCCAAATTCAGCAGTTTCGGATACATCATGACCGAGATAGTGGCTATAACCCCGGCATATTGTTGACTATAGACCAGGATTCTCCTGCTGGCCATGTGTAAAGACCTTGCTGGGCGAGCAGGCAGGTAACCAGGTCTTGTCTGCGACTGGTAGTCTCATGTGATGGCTAGCGAATGTGCAGCGCACAATCGACATGAATGCTACGGTGATTCAATTGTTCCGCCGGGCCTTGACTGGCTGCAGTTGGTTTATGAGCCCTGTCCAGGCTATTGTTATTGTTTTCCGCCGCCTCGATCCTGAGCAGTGTTACCTTCTGTTCTTCAATCTTCGAAGCACTTGCAACGATGATACAGTTTCCTCAGACTGCCGAGGCTCTCGAACAGGATGCCTTTTCCAGACACGGAAGACGGCTAACGAGGGGGTATCAAAGTCATCAACCCTGCATGAATCGGCAGCATCTTCTCGGCTCGAACCGCCTTGGGGGCGTCTCAAAGTCGTCCAGTACCCCAGTGGAACGTGATACCCACTGTTTCGGAAGATACAGAATAGCCCATTTCAGAAGTGCGGGGTGTAAGTTAATCGTTCCTTAGGCTGTGATGTGGTGCATTAGAGTGGACGGATTGGATCGTGGAGGAGGTTCTTCCGGATTACCCCAAAGCGTGGTGCGGCTTTGTCTGGGTGGCTCGACAGCCAATGTAATGCTATGCAATAGCAAGGGTCCAGAGGTGACTTGCATATGCGGATAGTACGCATGATGCTCTGGTGAAGTCAAGTATTTTGCCTAACGGGGCCATGTCAAGGATAGAATGAGGTTGTTGTGGTCAGGTTTAGGAAATATGGAGGTCTGGTCAAACTGGCACACGTGATGACCGCATATCACCTACAGTGCCTTTCTCTAGGTACCTAGGTAGGTAGGTAGGTAGGTATGAATAATCTGCACATGTCTACCTACCCAGGTAGACTAGGAGAAAATCATATCTATAGGTTAACCGCCTCACGCTGCGTTGCTCTTCATACAAGCATAATTCTGAGTTAGGCTCAACCCATCTATAATTCAAGATGCTAGAGTGTCAATGGATGCATCACAAACACCCCTTGTAAACCACTGGGCATCAATATAATCTACAAGGATGCGTACTTCGCAACACTGCATCTCATGTCCTTCCCGCAATTACCAACGTTCCAAAGATAGGGGAGAAAGTATCATCCACATGAGGAACCGTAAATCCTCCCGAGACGCCGTATAATCATCCCTTGCAATTTCCACCTCCAAAAAGCTTTTGCTCGCAAAAAACAAACACCACCATCACTGGCTGTCAGGGTGACGTGCTGCCTACTATTCGCCACTACCCGTGAAAACAGGTGGATGCCGTCCAGTTGCCTCAATGATCAGAACCGAAGCATCGAATGATATTGCAATGCCCGGCTTTCACGCTTTCTTGTATGGTTTGCAGGAGAAACCGAGTGCAGCCAGATGTCTTCTCCTTGTCAAAACCAGAATAGTAGCATCTTTATCCACGGATATCTGATATATGGATGTTTTTGCTTTGACGGGGCAGTCTCTGGTCACGCTCGTAGAGATAACCACAGTTGGCACATAAAGTCTGAGTAATGTTAGCAATGAAAACGGAGCCGCCAAGCGTCGGACTTACTCTTGGACCTGCTGGCCCATCTCTCACAGCCCAGACACTTGTGCCCCATATCCTGCAGTGCATGCACCTCCATTGATATCTCTCTTGGTCTGTCAAAGCTCCGCCACCTCCGTATCCCCCAACGTCTGGTGTCCCTCGCCCTCCCGGTGTACCACCTCGGCCAAGCGGACTCAAGCTTCGGAAACGCCGCTTCTTTTTGGACCGTTCGCCTCGTCCCATTCTCTCCTCCTCGACTTCCATCGGCGCACCGAAGGGCGTACCTCCGAGCATGCCTGTTGTAGAGCTGAACCGCGCCGTCTCACGGCGTAATCGACGAACTTCTCGTTCTCGGTCGCCCTCTCGCTTCTCAATCTCTTCCTTGCTCAGGAATTCTACTTTTGGCTCCCAATCATCTCCAAGGTGCTCCGGGTCATACCTCCAGCCAGCCTCAGAGCCATGGGCAGCATCGTTTGGTAATTCCTGCTGCATCCCACCCCATCCAGCAACGAGGCCGCCAGCCTCGCAGGCTTCCTTTTTCAGCCGCAGAACCGCTTCGTAGATGGCATGCGTCATTGCCGGTATCCACTCTCCTGTCAGCCCAAGATCTGTACAAGTGACCTTGGCGAACGCTTCGGCGGTTCCAGGCGGATGCAATAGAGACCATTCAAACTTATCAGTGTAGAGCATTGATGCCAGATTAAGGTTCAGGTTGATGATGCATCGATAGGTATCGTCAGGGTTGTAGTCGTCAGACTCAGGAAGAATCGGCGTCGCCTCTGCGGTGATATCGGGAACTTGGGATTGCGAAGGAGTAGCCGCGCCTCCAGTCTGCGCCGGAGTGTCAGGCCGGGACGCCCCTCGTATGGCGGAGACGGGAGAGTCATCCCGGGACTTCAGCGCGAAGCTTGGCCGCGGCGTCAGTGCAGCAGTCGTGGGCTGTGGAACAGAGAGGGCCTGGGGGTCACTGTGAAATAGTGGGTGAAGAGCAACGCCCGAATACTCTTCAAGCTGCGTCCGGATTTGCTTGCTGATATCAGCAATGACTGCCTGCCGGTTAGGCAGATCGAGGTCCTGCACTAGAGTTTGGGCGAACTGATCGGTAGAGATAAGAGTCTCGTGCAGATTCCAGCAAAAGATGTCCCGGAGTTTATACGGCACTGTCGCCTCCTGTTGACGATACTGAGGGAGTGAGGTGTCCACTGCACTCGGGTTATGTGGCATGGGATATGGAGCTGGTGGGATGAACGCGGGAACATCCACATCGATTCTAATCGGAATCAGGGTGAGAGGCAATGTTGCTTGAACAGCATTCTGTTGGTCGCTCCTCAGCAGCCTGTGCTTGGCGATCCAATCACGCCAGACACCCTGCACCTCGACAGGCTCTTTGGTGTCCTTGCCAATCTTGTCGGTGAGGTCTTGTCTGTTGACCGAGTCCTCCTTTCGTAAGCTCCTCAGTCCCGTCGGTCGTCGTCTAGGGTCGTCGCTATCATCTTCCAGGTCATCGTAGCCATCTTCAGCATAATTTATGATCGTCGTCCCTCGCTTTGTGGTTCTCGAAGCTGGTCCTGCGGGCGCGCTGCTTGGTAGAACGGGCGTGAGGAGGGAGTTGTTGTAGGCGCGCAGTCGCGGCGCGTAGCTCGTCAAGAAAGCCTGGGGCTTTGATCGTTCCATTGTGTGTGTGTGCTATGAGGTTTCGATGATCATCTCATGCTGTGGGAAACGAGCTACGCCAGCACGCGAAGAGTCTCTCTTCTCACTATCGTTGGTTGCTGGAATTGATACAAGTGGTTCAGATGCCAAAATTTACCCGATGGTAATGACACTATCGATGTGAACTAAAGGTGTCGAGATATGTGGAGTTTTCTGTTGGTCGCGATGGCTTCAACGTTCAATGCTTGATGGAGTCGCGCGAACGGGGACCTTTTTCTCGATCGCGTCGCTCGTTGTTCCACCTGCAGGGCAGAGTGCACGGGCCAATCGACCGACCCTGATTATATAAGCCGGTTGCCTACCCTGTAGATACCTTATCGTTACAATTGAAAGACGAGATGGATACCACGAAGGAAGGTTCTGGTTTATTACTACTAGCAAAGCAAACTCTTGATTTCACCGTCTGTTCCATGATATAATACCGGATGTTACCGCTCCCTCTTTGTGATAGTTACCATAAGGGCAGGGGTCATCTCATGTACGCACACTAACTAGACAATCCATCAGTTCTTCTCTTAACTTTATCTCTCGGGACAACATACCAATCTCCGTGGGAATAGAGGATACAAACCGTGTGAAAAACGCATAGATTGTTATGATCATATGCCCGACCACATCCGATTCGGTCTGCCTCAGGATCCATGATTACATCTTGGCCATTAGTTAGGATGTGAAGATTGTGGCGGAGCGGAGATATTACTTACTGTAATAGTCTGTGTCCTTTTGTTTACGGTTGAGCCTGTCTTTGGCAATGAGCCAGAAGTTTGCAGCAGACTCGAAAGTACGCCTTTGTGGTTGACCCTCGCATGTGGCCGAGGGCTCTGTGTATACAACAGTTCTCTCCAAACTATCAGGTGCCGAGGCTTCACAGCCCAATTGGATGGCATAGTCTTGCGCTCTGGAGGCAAGGCTAGAGTCCCAGGTCAAAGGGCGGTACCCATTGCCAGAACGTGCTGAATTAAGCCTGAATTGGCCATGCACGATGTCTTGCGCTTCCATAACCGAATCTCCATGACTGAAGCCCATACAACACAACGAGACAGCGAGAGTTGTGAGTCGCATGGCTGGAAGACTTGGGGGATATTTTCTAAGTAATGAAAGGACTTAGGTAGGTTTAGTATATCTTGGCAAGTTTTTAGACCAGTTTATTCCAATGCCTTAGAAGTGTGATGGACCACTAGAGCTCGATGATAGGGCAAGTCGCGAATGTGGAATGGGGGTTAAAAGGAAGGTGGCAATAAACGTGAGGCTTGAGATGAAATCAAAGGCATATAAGAGTTATTAAGGCGGCCAAGTAAGAAGAAATTGCTTGAGCTGGGTTGAGAAGTGGGCATATATTGGTTGAAGTTACGAGTTAAGTAAAGTTAGGAATTAAGTAAAGTTAGAAGTTAAGTATGGTAAAGTTAAGAGTTAAGTAAAGTTAAGAGTTAAGAGAAGTTAGGAGTTGAGGGAAGTTAGAAGTTGAGTGAAGTTAGGTAAAGGCTGAAAGGAAGAGGGAAGTGAGGGAGGGAGGGAGATAAAGGCATATAAAAACGTAGGGTGGGCACTGCTTCCTGCTCCTTCTGTTCTGATTTGAGCTATCAGCAATAAGTCTTAACTGCAAATAATATTTATAGCTTATAAATTAAATATTATGACGCAATATCTAACTACAAAATCACTTTAGCATAAAGCTGATATTATATAAACCTAAAACATGACTTATTTGCTCGCCATTACTGGTTATAAGACGCTCAGATGCATGCCCCAAGACGATCGAACGCGGCACCAGGAAAATGAAGGCCACAATTTCGTCATTGAGGCAGATGAACCTTGTTGCGTTTTGACTTCTGTGAAAGTCGACAAGAAGAAGTCTTCACTTCATAGGAAGGGGCTCCTGGGCACCTTGTGTAGGATTCAGTGGCAAGGGACTCACAGTGCAATTGCTTTGCTTAAAGGCTGTTGCAGAGAAGGAGAGTATTTGCTGATCCACTACGATTCGACATGCTCCGTATTTGTAAAGACGTAATCGGAAAGCTGAAAGATGAGTATTATCAGGGAAATCCAAGTCAGGGAAGATAATTGTACTCAAGGCAAAGGATGTCTCTTGTCGCAGTGAAAGACGTGTAAGTGATAGGAACGATATGATTCGCTCGCCTTCCATCATCTTTCCTAACATGGGTAGCCCCACAAATGACGTCTCAAGACCAAGACGTTTCTTCTCGTCATGAAAACATTGCCCCAACCCTCACCTTACGAGTCGATCAAATTTCGCACAATGGCCTCACGGACGCCTTCTTTCGCCTCCAAAGTCCTGCGCCAGCTACAAAAGCAACCGCAGCGCCCCCCACCATCCCTGCACGCTCCTTTTATTCGTCCCGCCACTATAAACCTCCAGTCTTTCCGCGCAGCGCATAACATTCCACGACCACCTACCCAAACATACGCCAAACCGAACCCCGAACAGGCGCAAACTGGCGAGACGCCAAAAAGCGAAGGAGAAAGGCCCGAGATCAAGGCGTCGCACTACCAGCTATCATTTACGTGCATTCCATGCGGGCATCGCTCCCACCACAACGTCTCTAAGCAGGGCTACCATTATGGCTCTACGCTCATCACATGTCCCGAGTGCAGGAACAGACACGTCATCAGCGACCACTTGAACATCTTTGGCGACAGGAAAGTCACTATCGAAGACCTTATGAGGGAAAAGGGTCGTCTTGTTAAGAGGGGAAGTTTAGGTGAAGACGGCGATATTGAGTTTTGGCCAGAGGAATCTCTTCCAGCAGACATTGAGGCTGGTGAAAGCAAGAGCTCCTGATGGCCTGCGACTAGAGGGATGCAATGATAGAGTGAAAAATGCGAGATTTGTACAATGCCTAGGTTGGGCAAAAGCATTGGTTGGCGTTGATGGATACCCTCCACTGAGGGCCCCGGGACTGAAGATATAGACATGGAATTAAAACAAGCTTATTCTCCTCTACCTTAAGCTTTGCGTACTCTTGAATGATGAAATTACACTCTTGAACATCAGGGTTGTTCTAAACTTACATGTTGTGTTATTCTGGATTTATACATGAGCTTTATAAAACAACACTACCTATACACTCCAATGTGCTTTGCTGACTTCATGTCATGTTCCCCATGGTTCAGAGCCCAGTCACACGCTTCGGGGGTGAAAAAAAGAGCAGGCTACAGTATCTCTGTGGTCAGTGGACCATTACTAGCGAACTGTGCTAGCCTAGCAGTACTTGAAACAAGAATACCCTTATTTTAGGACCAGTCCGCTATATAGTAAATGTTACTGCCACCTTCCAAGGAACATAATGTAGCTCTATCTGGCCAGTGGATTCTTTGATGCTTGACGAATAAGCTCAAACAGTGTTACTAGATCATCCTGCTCTTCCAAAGACAACACTATCTCCTCAATCTTTGCTACAACTTCACTCTCAACAATGTCCTTGGTTAGTTGCCGCCATTTGGCTAGGATATCTTCATTAGATAGGGGTGGATCCACGCCGAATGCATTCGGAACACCGTGATGTAGGACTGTCTCGTCTTCAAACACGATCCTCACTTCTTGACAGCCGATTGAGTCGCCATCAGTAACATGGAGTTTACACTCAGTGAGATCGACAAGTCTCCAGACATCCTTATCCACGAGCATTTCAGGGGTAAACTGTGGCATCAACACTTGTCCATGTACAATTTGTGTGGCCGCCGTGAACGAGTTGCTCATCTGGGCTCCGGTTGCTGTGAGGGGCTTAACGGCTTTCCAGCCTCCGTGATGGAAAGCAGCTTCGCCAAGAAGGATGTCGATCTTCTTTATCTCATCGAACCTCTCCAGCCTATCGGGATGTTTCTCCTGGAGATGACGGATACAGTCGATGCTGGGATGTGTACCAGCCATGGCTGCGTAAGGCTTGATCCTAATGCCATCCGTCTGCCACCTGATTCCCAGCTCGCTCGTCAACTCCTCCAGTCGATATTGGGGCTGCTTCCCATTTCCAGAACTGAACTGTTTCAAGAAGCCTCCATACTCGCGCTCGAAGACTTTCTTGATACCAACATAGCCGCCTTGTGCCAAGACAACAGCCAAAAGACCGTTGCGTGCTGCAAACCCATGGTGCATGCGCTTTACGTCGCTCTCGAACTGGGCAGACATGAGCCCGCACGACTGGGTACATGCTATCCCAAAAGCATCCTCGATTGTGTTCGCATCGAGCCCGTAAAGCTTGCTGACGCTGGCGGCAGCAGCAGCGGGTCCGAAGACTGCTCCAGAATGCCAGCCCGATGAGAGAACATGTGTGCCCCAGAGGGAACGGCCTACACGTGGCCCAGTCTCGTAGCCCGCTATAGTCGCGAGCAGGAAGTCTTTTCCGGGGGATGTGAAGCGAGAGGCTTGTGCATTGGCTTGTTCCGCAGCGGCAAGCAGAGCTGGCAGAATGATGCTGTTGGAATGAAGGGGAGCCTCGCTGTGCCAGTCATCCAGCTCGAAACCCTGGATAAAGGTTCCATTCAGAAGCGCGGCAGTGAGAGCGGTAACCTTGCGTCCTCCCCACCCAATGAGTGAGGCGTCTCCCTGTGTTGGCTCCAGGTTGAGGATAGCCTGCGCTGCCGTCTCGGACCAGGGTAGATGAGATCCGACGAATGCACACGCCAGTCCATCGAGAATTAGGTACTTTGCTCGGGTGCGCACTCGATCTGGGATGTCATCCAGTTTCAGCTTTGAGACCCATTGTGACAGTTGCACCGTCGGGCTTGATGACTTAGGGGTTGAATCACTCATGTTGAAGTCGCTGGTAGATGACGAAGGGATAGAAGGACACTGCGGCCCTAGGTCACTCGAGCATCTTATATACGACCTCTTTGCGGTGAGATTCAGTATTCAACGAGATGTTGCTCAGGCTTTCTTGTCTGGTCGGTTCATCAAGTTGAAGGTATCGGAGTTGTATTAGTTCGAAGTCCTACGCAAATGTGCTGCCGGTTTCGATCGGAATTCCGAATGACATATTAGCTACGTACCCAGGCGGGCTAACAAGAAGAAGCTACAAGGAGGCCCGAGATCACCTTAATGCTAGAGTTGCATTCTGAATCGTGCCATTCCTAGTAAACTTTGGGATTACCACGTAACTTACAGTGGGAGTCGATTAGATCACTACGGGTGAATAGACTGATGCTAATCTCCTGGGGCCATGCGTTTGTATTGGAGGATGCCAATATCGGAGTTCCGAGTCGTCTCTTACCCTCAGACTGCGTCCATGTCACCCCCGACAGATCCTCGAGGCTACTGAAGCTTCGTATTACCCGCCCTGCTTTCAGGTTGTGGAAGTATTAAAGCCGCAAGCATAGGCGAGGGAGTTTGATGCAGACCACCCAGCTTTTCTGTCAAGAAACTGTCTGGTACTACGCACCTATCAAGGCAAATACCATCGAGACCTCAACGATCTATCATGTCTGAGGAAAAGGCTCAGCAGGATACCTTTGAGAGGGTGACGGAGCAAAGAAGTCCTATCACTGGCGATAGAATGGCTCTTGTTACAGAAGCTGAGGAGAAGGCTGTTCTGCGCAAGCTTGATTTACATATTTTGCCTCTTTTGTTCCTGGTCTACACCTTCTCCAACCTAGATCGCAGCAACTTGGGCAATGCTCGTCTTGCAGGACTGACAGATTCTGTAAACTTGGAGGGCAAACGCTACGACTGGCTTGGAACGGCTTTCTATATCGCATGTGAGTCACTGCACTGAACCAACAGGAGTAGCCAGATTCGTGTCGCTGACAAGAAAACAGATATTTGTTCTCAGTGGACGGCCGTTGGCTTCAAGCGATTCCCTCCACATAAATGGGTTTTCTTCTCTGCTATAGGTTTTTCGACCATATCGGCATGTCAAGCCGCCGTCACCAATTACGCCAGTCTGGTCGTCCTGCATGTGCTGCTCGGTTGTTTCGAAGGCATGTTTTCCGGCGTGCCTCTATATCTGTCCTTCTTCTACCCCAGAGACAAGGTTGGCTTCCGCCAGGGCATCTTCCTCTCTGGGTCTGCCCTTGCAAACGCATATGGAGGCGTTCTGGGATATGCTATTCTGGGTATTCGGGGCTCGGTTGCACCATGGCGATGCCTGTTCCTCGTTGAAGGGTTACCAGTATGGATCGTTGCCATCCTGGCATGGTTTTATCTGCCAGACGACCTTCTCAGCGCCAAATTTCTCACCGACAGGGAGAAAGAAGTTGCCTGGCAGTGTGTGGGACGGGGACAGACTGTCGACTCACGGGGCGCGGGAGGGGTTAGCTGGGCAGAATGGCGTTCGGCATTCTTGGACTGGCGGAGTGAGTAGTTCCATTATTCTTTACATTCTCGGGCTGATGACTTGTTGTGCTAGGTTATGTGCCAGGCTTGATGTACTTCTCGTGCAACGTATGCTTTGGCTCGCTGCCTCTCTTCATTCCGACCATCATCTCCGAAATGGGCACATTCAACCACCAGGAAAGCAATGGACTGTCGGCTCCCCCCTACGCTCTCTGCTTTGTCACAATTCTAGCATGTGCTTTTGCCAGCGACCGCGCTAAGCTGCGTGGTCCCTTTGTGGCCGCTGCTGCGATTGTATCAACGGTAGGATACTGCCTTCTTGGTGTTTCCGAGGGGGTTGTTGCTCGCTACGCGGGAGTCTTCCTCAGTGTACAGATCTTTGTCAGTATCAGCATTCTTCTTCCCTGGGTTTCGAGCGTGCACGACACTGAGAGCAAGCGCGCTGGTGGGTGGGCAATATTCGCTACGCTGGGCCAGTTTGGGCCCTTGGTTGGCACCAACATATTCCCCAAAGACCAGGGGCCGTACTATCACAAGGGTGCTTGGATCTCCTGTGGGTTTACCTCGTTGGTCGTGCTACTTAGTATAACCTACTCAATTTTACTTTGCTGGGAGAACAAGCGACTGGACAAAGTAATGGTTGAGGGTGCCGGTGTAGGCATGGAAGGCGATGATCGTCCAAGGGGGTTCCGGTATATTGTTTGAGTTGGTTGATATGGTGAAGCCCCAGAACGATCTTCATCAGTTATCACATGAACGTTAAATTGGGGAATAATAAAGTTTCCGCTTCTTTATGCTCTAAGTTAGTTAGTTTCTAGTAGAAACAATGCCTATGCCGGAGACTTAAACCCCGCGTCGATCTGCCGAAGAACCCGCAGTCGGAATTCCGTACATACACAACCAATGCCTGCTGATCGTGGGGAAGTCGTTCCATCTCCTGACTCCGAACTCATAAGCAACAAATCAACCGTTCGGGTAATAGGTAATACGGCGGCCCTTGTTGAACTGTCCCCTGTAGCTTCAGAGGAGTCAATCATGCACATGACAAGTCGCATGAAGGCCTGTGCTCGTTGCAGGCGACAGAAGGTTCAAGACTTGCTCTTAGATCCAGGACAATTGAGATATGCTAATCCATGGCTCATAGTTGAGATGTGACTTGTACCAGCGTCCCGGACAGCCATGTTCACGTTGCAAACGCATGCATATAGAATGCAACAATATAGTGGAGGCCCCAGAGGCTACTGTAGATGCTTCGCCAGCTCGATCCGATCGCACTGCAGTAGGAACTTCAAGCAGTGCCTTGACCCATACCACTACAGGGCCATCACTTGAAGTTGACCCATCATATACTGTACAGTCAGACCGATCTTCGTCACTTGCTGAAATCTTGGGCCGAGAGGGCATTGCGGTCAAACAGATAGACGATTGCTTTGCTCGGTAAGTGTTGTCTACCGCCACATGCAGTAACTGGATCGCCAACTGAAATTGCTAGGTTCTTCAACCACTACAGCAAGCTTCTGCCTGGAATTTTCCGCGAAAACGATGTGAACTACGAATCGTGCTTCAAAGAGTCTTCCCTCCTGTTTTGGACGATAACTGTCACAGGTGCCAGGCACTTGGAGCACGCCACGAAGCTGCACCAGATAGCTGCTCAACACATCAGAGGCGGAACATTCCAGCCCCTTTTACACATTACGAACCCTATTCCCATTATCAAAAGCTCCCTGATCCTGTGTCTCTGGCCTCTGCCAGTGGACACGATGTGGAAAGATCCTTCACATGTGTATGCAGCCACGGCCCATTCTCTCGCCGTTCAGAATGGGCTCTTCGTCGACGGCCGCGAGCAAGACTTTGCACGGACGCATACTTCATTGTCGAAAGAGATGAGAGATATCAGGGCTCATCTGTGGCTCAATTGTTGCTTAGTTTTTCAGGCGTAAGTTCTCCAGTCTGTTAAATCATGCTACTCGCTCAAGGGGAACAGGACGAGCCTGTGTGATGGCCTCCCACATCTTTCAATTTCCGAGTCCAAGCCCTCCCAGAGGAAAGTTAGGCTCGAGGAGGTTGTGGACGCCTCATTCTATTACCGCATCAAGTGCCATGACATCTTAATTGATGCCACTAGAGCATTTGGCGATATCATAAGCGAGCAGGGCGAGGGCAGTAAGTCGTTGCTACCGCTCATCAGGATCTTCAGTGAACAAGTGGAAATCGTCCCACTCCCTCTCCGTGACGACTTATGTATGTGCGAGCCGATCTCAAGTCAAGTGTCATTGAACCGAATTTAATTGACTTACCAGGCTACCTCACCCGCTGCTGCACCCGTCTCGCAATATCAGCATACTACTTCTTCCTGCAGAGTCATGACTTAAAGAAGCCAGGCCTGATCACAGCCTTCTCGATAGCCACAGAAGTTCTTGATGTCGTGTCTCGCCTAGATGCCATGCAGGACTTTGCGTTACATGCTTCAAACTACTATACCCGCATGGCCTTGCTAGCGGCGTTTTGCATCCTACGAATAGTCCGGAGCCAGCTGAAAGAGCACATTGACCTGCGTGATGCTCAACAGTCATTGTTCAAGGCGATTTCATTCGTCAAGAGGCGTTCCATGCAACACGGCGACCTGGATGAGAGGTATGGGACCATTCTCTCGCAGTTGTGGTCAAATAGCGATGCGACGGATACTACTACAGCTAATGGGTTGGATCTCAGGATCCGTAGTCGTTTGGTACGTGCAAGAGAAAATGCCCCAGGCCTACTCACCTAACTGCTATAGTTTATGAGCGTGGTATTCGACTCTCTTTGGTGGTGGCGAGTCGAATACAACGGGCAAGGCAGCCCATACGACACGAGCAAGACTGCACCAGAATCTGCTCAGATGGATGACACAGATGCCAGCACGTTCTGGAACTCGACAGTTGCGCCTGTAGGAGACAGCTTCGGATTATCCAACCTCCCCGAGGTTTACATGGACTGGAACTTCCCTCTGAATATTGATTATATTGGGTAGAGAAAGCACGGATGCTTCGAGGAGCTACATACAACGTCTTCTATGCAAGGCAGTTTGGTAGCCAGCCTTGAGCATAGCACGGTATCCTAAGACGCATCAGTCCACGCCACCTTCAAAGTTGGAAGCTCCAGCATCCTCATCAACTTTCATCGACTCATCGAGTCCACAAACTCGAAATACATCCTGTGGTGTAAGCTCTGTATCTGCTAAGCCGGTTTCCTTCAGCTTTTGCAGACCAGCCTTGACTGCAGTATAAGCGGGAGCCAGCGTAGCCAGCGGCACAATCATCATGCTGAACCCCAAGTCCTTTGCTTCTTTAGCTGAAAGCTTCGGCGTGACGCTATTCTCCACCATATTCAGCAATACTGGCCATGGTGCGAGATCTGCGATCATCTGCCGCGCTTCCTCGACCGATCGAAGCCCCTCGGGGAATGCTGCATCAGCTCCAGCATCGCGTGCAGCACGGAGCCGTGCCAGTGCTTCTTCATACCCATGCTTCTGGATGGAGTCTGTCCGTGCAATGATGACTATATCGCTTCCAATCCTTTGGCGTGCTTGCACAGCAGCCCGTATACGGGCCAGATACTCTTTCAAGTCCACCAGGATCTTTCCTGCAAGATGGCCGCACCGCTTGGTCTGCACCTGGTCTTCGATATGTAGCGCCCCGACACCTGAGCGTGAATATTGTTCAACCGTACGTGCCACCATGATTGGTCCGCCGTACCCGGTGTCTGCGTCGGCAATGACAGGCGTAAATGGTGACAAACTGGCGATAGTTTCTGCGCTCCGCCGCATGTCGTTCAGTGTTGCGATCCCTAGGTCAGCACATCCGTGAACGGATGCCGTGACTCCTGCTCCAGTCTATACTCGTCAGTCGAAGCTTTGATAGCAAAGCATAGCAGACTAACCATGTATAGGACATCAAATCCAACCTCGAGCGCAATGCGCGCAGAGAATCCGTCGTATACGCCAGGAGCAAGGATAAAATCACCGGCTTCTATCCTCTGGCGTAACAGCCTCCCCGCAGTGATAGTTTTATAGACACCTTCTCCTTGCGAGCCCATGATTGACTTGTACGGCGTAGAGGGGTGTTGTTCTGATGAGTTTTGAGTTTTATCTAGGGAGACCTATATTGCATAGTGATTTATTTGATTCGGAATCAATCCATTGTGACGCCCCTTTTCGTGTATTTGTTCAAGATGGGTTGGAGTGGGACTCGGAGTTCCTAACTATGACGAGCCTCAACGATGCTGAACGTTCGGAATTCCGACAGTCTTGCTTAATTCAAACATTCTGATGAACACAGAGTCGTAGTATCAGCACAAGACGTCATTCCGCGTAAGGATTCCATACCACCGTTCCCCGACGTCGGATAGAGACTGGTGTGAAGGCTGACGCTGAGGCCGATATCCGATTCTTGGATTCGATTGGATTCGATTGGGAGCCCCAAGAAAGATAGGAGTCCAGCTCACACAGGACTGATTTATCAGAATTATATTGTTCCAGTTGATAGGTAATCCTCTTGTGGAGAGGCTGTAGAATAAGTTGCAGCTGATAATGACCGAATTTTCCTTTCGTCTTCTTCTATAAATGACTTTTACTATGTTCAGATCATGACGCCGAGAAACAATCTACCTAACGACACAAATCCTTAACGCCAGTTGATGCAACGTCGTCCATCACCTTCACTTTTACCACCGCTTGAAAGACTCACGCATGACCTTCTGCTCCTTTGATCGAGTCTTCTTGCGCTCCTTGTTCTTCTCAAACTTCTTTCTCTTGTCTCTTCCATACTTCTCCGGTTGTGCCAGTGCCTCAATCTTTCTCTTGCTTGAACGCTGTTCTCTCTTGGCCCTCACCTCCTCTCGAATAGCAAGAAGCTGCTTCGAGTACTCAGCCGTACCAAATTTCTTTTGCAGGGAATCCATGAGGATCTGCGCTCTTGTCTTGAGGGCCTCGTGCCTCGTCTTGAACAGTTCATCGTTGGAGAAAGGCGGTGCGATGGAGGGGTCAGTAAGATTGTGAAGGGGTACCAGGATAGTCTTGAAAGATGGTCGCAGGCGATCGGCTGAAGATCTCCGGCAAATCGTTTCAAGAAGCTCCATCGCAGCCACCTTTGGTGTGATGGCAACAGCCCTAGGGGGAATCTCTCGTCGAATAATGTGAGAGATCTTCCAGAACAGATGCTGAAGATCAGTCCTTCGTTGTATCCCCTCAGCCCGCTCTACCCCCTCTTCCTCGTCCTCTTCCTCTTCCTCCTCGTCCTGCTGCTCTTGCTCCACGTCATCGTCAGACCTCTCACCTTCAATTACAGGTCGAAGAGGGAGGCGAGGAGCCAAGAAAGCAAGGACCTGGACAGCTTCCGCTCCGAGCTTCTCGTCAATGTCTCGGGTCGCCAAAACACCCAAACCAAGTCTCGCCAGATTTTGTACCTTGGACAAATCAAGCGTAAGACCATGGCTGCCGACCACTGCTTCGTCGACCGCTACATCACTGGCTTGCTGAGCAAAATCGGCCAGGTATGAGCTTGTCAGTCCAATGGATGACAATTTGACCGAAGTCGATTGATGTGACAGGCATCTCAAGATGTTGGACCACATCTTCTCGCTGCTGCTTGACAGAATCTTTTCAGGGAACACAGACAACGAGGCCCGGATGACTTCAAGTGCCGCCTCCAAGAGCTCTCCATCTGCCTCTCGAATATCCTCCACCTCAATGACGCTGTTGATCTTTCCTAGAACGAGCTTGAAATCCTTCTTGTTCTTGGATGCATTTTCGTCAGACTCTAGATAGAAGCCGAAAACCTGGAAGGCAAGCTTGAGAACTGCCTCATTTCCGCCCTGATCTAGCCATGTTCGCACAAGCCCGAGGAAAGTCTGAGTCCTCTCCTTGTCAGCCTTGCTGAATATCTCCTTTAGTAGTCCAGCAGCTGCAACTCGACACTTCTCGCTGTCGTCATTGGCGAGGACAAAGAATAGCGGAAGGAAACATGTGGAGGAGATCTCCTGCACGAAGTCATCTGATGATTTCATAAGAAGCAGGTGAACAATCTCCATGACAGATAGCCGGCCACCCTCTCGCTCGTATTTGAGATTGGCAACGATGAAGTTCAGTTGTTTAGCCCATCTAGCCTTCTTCTGGGGATATTCACGAATGAATTGGAAAAAGGTACCTCGAGCAAGGTCACGTGTGTCCTTGTCATCATTGGTGATCATGACTGTGCCAACATAGTCCAGAGTGTCGTAAACGGCGGCGGTTTCCAGATGTCGGTCCAGAACCGACCGCAAAAAGTTGAATGTGACATGGCGGTAAAGCGGTTCAGTGAGATCGTCCTTCAACTTGGCAAGGAGCATATCAACCGCCGCATCCTTCACAACAACATCACGACGCTCTCGAAGGACGACAGCGAGCATTTTGAGAGCTGCTTGAGATAGGTCAGTTGTGGTAGAGACTGCCATGGAGATACTCTTGGTTGCTTCCTTCACTGCAACCTTGTACAACTTGGATCCCTCATCGTCAAGGAATGGCACTTTGACAATGACAGCGAGTAGTCGGAACGCTGAAATCTTCACTTCGTCCTCTCCACCAACCATAGCATCACCAAGTATGGGAATGAATCCGGAAATGTTGGTAGGGGTTCGCAAGCTATCGTGCTTCTTCAGTATTGCCCTCAGAATGTCCACCGCGAAGCGGATTAGCTTGTATGTGTGCTTAGTGGTTTTGCCTCGATCGCCGCTCTTCTTCGCACCCTTTTGGACAAGGTATTTCTTAACTCGAGGGTCCAGCTTCTCTTCAACTTCAGGCTTTTGAGAATTGTAAACGTCCTGAATGACTTCATAGCAGAAAACAAGGGTGTCGCGGGTCTCGGCGGCAGGGTTTTGCAGAAGTCCGGCCGTAATACGCGCCATTAGGGTATCAAGCTTACGAACCATCTTGAGATCAACCTTTTGCATCAGAAGCGCGCGCAGTGGCTTGACCAGTTCGATAAGCCGACTGACTGAAGCGTTCTTGGCTATAAGCTCCATCGAGTCTTGACTCTTGCTGCTCTTGATCTCCTTGGTCTGGGTGGTATAGCCCTCAGCGTCCTTCTCTTGGCCGATGACGCCGAAGATATCATCCATGATGACCGTTACGACAAAGGTGAGGCAATAGTCCAAATCACCAGGAGAGCAGATGGGGATGATTGCAACCAGAATGGAGTGCATGGTGTATGAAAGCACATGGAGCTGGTAGCCTCTGGTTAAAGCCCCTCGCAACTCCTTCAGGATGAAGCCAAAGTAGGAGGAGCCGAGGATAACAGCAATCTTGACCAATGTGTCTCGAGCCATGTCACGAGCTTCGACAGACTTGCTGCGAAGAATGTGACTGATATCAGTCAAGACACCGGCCAGTTTCTGGTCCATTTGGTCCGAAGGCAGCAACTTCAGAAGCCTGACAATGATCACGCCAACAGGGACACGGTAGCTGACTTCCGACTCGTCCTTTTCGTGGAGATGCTTGACAAGTGTGGGCAGGAAGGAATTAGTAACCTCGATGCTCAATTTCTCTGCCGTCGGAATAGTGAGGGGGAGTCTGGTGGTGGCTGATGACGATGCATCAACCTCATCAATCTCCATACGCTCCTGCGGCTGATTCTCAGCTGCGTCGACAAGTGCATCAGTGACCTTGCTTAGAAGTCGAATTGTTAACTTCTGTTGTTCGGGCTTAGCTTCAACATAGCCGATGTATCTTTGGAGAGTGGTGCGGTAGTGTTTCCAGTGCAGAGAGCTTGCAAGATTACCAATGGTGATGATTGCTTGAGCGCCAAGCCCATGGTCATCAACTCCATCCGCGCGACCAAAAATGAAGTGCTCAAGGAGTGGGATAAAGAACTGGGCCAGGTTCTGGCTTCCGAACTCCTTCTGCTTGTTGGCTGCTTCTAAAATATGCAGAGCCTCTAGTTGTCTTGCGGTTGCAGGACTCAGGATATTAAAGAAGAAGGTTAGTTCAGCGCTGTCCTC